ATAAAAATTTCTATATCTGATATATAAACTGTTCTTAATAAATAAATATAAAAACTTGCTCAGGTGGATATTCTGAGGTGGGAAGACAGCAAATGAGATAAAGACAAAGTTTATGGATTGTTTTTTGAGGGAATATTTAACTTATTTAATTGGAGAGCAGAGAAAAAAAAAAAAACTGCAGTCTACTTGACTCTGTCATGATTCTGTTCTGAATGATTCTGCCGCGATGAGTGAATCACTGGGATCTATGCGTTCCCCGGAGCCAGGAAATGGGATGTTGCTGAATGCAAGACAGAGAAGGGGCTCAGGGAACTGGGCGTGGTTAGTCTTGGAGCAAAGGGCCTTCCTGAGGCCGCAGAGCTGGTTGCCCTCCACGTCCACTGACTCTCCTGCTTTCAGTTCCTGGGTAGCGACAATCACCTGTGAGAAGAGCTGATTGAAAACACTAGCCAAGCGGTACTTGTGCATGCCAAACCTTTCCTGTCCAGGCCAGCCTCTGGGAATACTTTTTCTTTTTGTTATTGTATCTTGGGAGAATTTTGAATGCCAAAAAAGTTATATAGTCAAAGATACACGGCAACCATTATGACCCTAAAATTACAGGTGTTTGGCCTCAAGCCTTCTGATCACGCATGAGAACAACCTGAGCAGCTCTGATTTCTTAGGCTTCACAGGGAAATGTCACCACATTTTTCTTCAGGGCCCAAAATGTAGAGCTTTAAGAAGAAAATGACCAGCACTGACATTTGTTAGCCAGAAAGGAAGAGCAGCAATATCCAGTGGAATGTAGTTAGATATTTAAAAGCCAGATACAGGGCTGGCCAAATAGCTCGGCGGATTAAAGGCCTGCAAGCAGGCGCAGGGGTCATGGGTTTGATCCCTGGGCCTGCCGTGTCAGCCCCCCCCACCCCCCCACCCCCGGGGGCGCACTGAGACGCTGAATGAGACTGGGCGTGGTGGCGCATGCCTGTAATCCCAGTTTTTGGGAGGCTGTAAACAGGCGGATCACGATGATTCCGATGTAGTTGTGAGACCCTGAATACCCTAAAAGTACAAAAATTAAAAAAAAAACAAAAAACAAAAAACTGTTTTGATACTGGGCGTGGTGGCACGCAGCTGTAATCCCAGCTCTTGGGAGTCTGTTAACAGGAGGATCACTGCAAGTCCGATCTAGTAGTGAGCCCCTGGACACCCTGTAGACCCTTCCCTAAAATACAAAAATAAATAAATAAATAAATAAATAAATAAATAAAAAATAAATAAAAGCTAAATACAAATGATTGTATGGGTGCATATGTGTGTATGTATAAAATACATGGGCATATGTATATATAAATGTATAAACACACACATATATGTATGTCTGTGTATAAATACATAGATACATATAAACACATACATGTTTGCATGTACATTCATTTTAATGATACTGTTTTTTAAAGGACACAAAAATTTTATGTGACTTCTTGTACTTGGTTATTACAAAATGTTTCATTTATTTGAGTCACAGTATATTTTAGAGCTTTTTCTATGTATCTAGTATCTTCAGGCTCCAGCTATAAACACACTCTGGAGATTTTTTTTTTTTTTTTGAATGCCCTAAAATGCATCAGGTATCTTTTAAAATGCCCTATGGAACCACTTGGATTAGATTTGAAGGGGGAAAATGTAAGTAATGCTTACACTGAAGATGTGGAAATTGCTTCTGAAATCACCCTGATGTATATAAAATTGAATCTATTTTCGTGACATTAAGGAATGACTGTCTGGCTTCCAAACTGGCATCTTGAAGAGGCCCTGAGATTACATGCAAATGTTGAGGCAGCACTGAGAGAAGTAGGGCCCCCAAATAGTTGTCACATCAGGAAAGAGTACAGCGGAACATGCCTTGAGCAATTATTTCATTATTGAACAGGTGGGCCCCTGCCTAATTCAAATTCTGCCTCTTCCTGTGTAGGTTTATTTTCTGGGGTTTTCTGTTCCAAGGGACTGCAACATTCAGTGACATCTATTCAATCAAGCCTTCCATTATTGTATGGAAACAATGACCTCTGGGATTGTAGGGTGACGGGGCTTTGTCAGATGCAGGCTACTGCTGTGCACTGCTTTGGCATTCTAAGAAAAGGAGACCATGTCACACTTCAAGGACAAACAATGTACATTGTTTTCTGTTTAAACACCAGCTTTTATTAAGTAATCTGACTTTGATCTTACTGCCCTGTGTACTGGTTATTTTTTCAGTGATACTTTGCTTATTGGGATTGTTTTCTGAGTCTTTCTTGTGGCGCTCTGTTTGCGTATCCATGCTTAACTCTTCTTTATCTCTTGAATTTGCATGCCATCTTCTCCCTGTTCATGTTCGGCCTAGACAAAAATGCCTCAAAAAATTCCTGCTGAATTCCTGTGACACGGGGACTTGGTGTTCTCTGCTTCTCGTATTGCATTTGGCAGGTTCCCTTGTACTTTGTGTCCCATTAGCTATCTTTGTCTTCGCTCTTCTGTTTTTCTTCCCTTGAATCTCCC